TTGATTTGTATCTCCAGGACTCCCAAGCTGCAAAATGTCTACGTCACAGAATTGTGAGACAATTGAGTTGGTTCCATCTTATATGAGAGTTGCTGCTTTATGAGTTATTGTTGCCACGACACCAATTTTCATGAGATGCATTTTCAGTCAGGAAAATGCCAGCATTAATTTTTTTCATGTAAAGTCTTCAACTAAAACTTTTCCAATGTCTTCATCATATAGTAAGCTGCAAACTCCAGAGGCACAATTTGAGGATGTTTTCCTGGTTTTTTTTTCCAGCTTTTCATTCTCACCTGTCCTCTGTTTTAATGCTTCACTGCATTTCTGATTAATTGATAAAGAGGGGCCAGCATGTGTAAATAATTATTCTAAACTTTGTGCGTGGTACATAAATAATCAACACACAGGCATATCCGGCATGTCAAGGGCTCGGTCAATGTTTCTGTTAGAATATTCTGTGACCTGCAGAAGTTGTCTAGCCGTGCCAGACCCACAGAATTTTGACAGGAAAATGAATAAATGATAAACAGAGCATTAAAATCATTGACAAGTCATTGAACCAGAGTGACCTAGGTCAACCCTGATTGGACAAACAGAACTGCAGGCCATTAGTGACCAAAAATATGTTTATTAAAATACCAATCTGCATTCCAAGTTCCTGTATTGCTTCCATTTGGTACATTTTACTCCTTTCAAGATATTTTTGGAGGGTGATTTGGCAGCAAGGGTTGAAGGTACTTTTGGCTGCATTTAGAAGCTCCTGCTCTGGTTTCTTATTTGCTTTTCTGTAGGTAAGGTGACCAGATAGAAATTCTGACTTGGACGAGAAGTATCCTTTCAGAGATATCTATCAACCTTCTATTTTTCTTAACGACTTTATTCTCACTTTTTCAATGATCAAGGCAAATAGTGAAAATTTGACTCATATTGTCAGGTAAGCTTCAAATCATAGATAGAACATGTAGAAACCTAGAGCCCTCGTCTTGTAATAAAGGACATTTATTCCTGTTCTTCCTTTTCCAAGTGAGTAACCCCACCTCAAGAAAGGTAAACATTTTTCAGTTTCTTGTCTGTTTTTCTTCCCTGCTTTAGGTAGAGAGCAGAGGTCATATCACTTAACTACACTACTCCAGGGCAGACTAGTCTCTGTGCAATAACCTTCTAACCATCATTACCACTGACATCTAATGGACAGGTTCATGCCCTGCTCGCAAGGTACCTGATTGTTTGGGGTTTTCAAAACAGGATAAAATCTCCACAGGAACACAAAGTTTGGCTACTCATTGTTTCAAGGAGCACATTGGCATTTTAATGTATTTTCGTCAGGGACTGATTGGTGATGGTGAACAATCGCATTATTGCATGTAATTTTTGGTCAAAAGTTCTTGGTTTTTAGACATGTAAGTGGTATTGAGGGAATATTTTAATTATGAAATATATTCTGAACCTGAATTTTTTTCAGCAGTTATCTTTATGTGCTTGACTTAGAACTGGCTGAAGAATCTTAGGTGTTTTCCATCTACAATCAACTATGCCAAATTCCACAGCCATCCAGACTGTGGTCCTTGTTGAAATTATGAGTCCTCCCTCAGAGGTGATAAGCAATGAAATGCCAAGCCTGTTGCCCACAAGTCTGACCTAGGTTGTCTTTAGCTGGACATCTATTGACATATCCAGCAATGGCTTAAACCCAATAACCAAAAGCTGGTGGGAGTATTTGTTTGACCAGGGCACAAAGTTCTGCACTTGAGGTTGTCTGTCCTTGAAGCCAAGGATGTACATAAAATGAAGACCAAGACTATGCTGCTTAGATTATACTTTAACAAAGTACTTGAGTTTGTGTGACCCTTGACCTCTAAGTGGCTTGCTGGCACCTTACATCCAAACAAACACTACCTCCAGTTTTCTTGGTCGTCTATCATCTTTGCTACACACATGCTCGGTGTGTATTTTAAGACTAAAGCAGCGGTAAAATTCAAAGAATTTTGGTTTGCTGTTCTGACTACCAGAGGTCAGTGGGGAGAAAATTTTCTTCCGACTCTACTAAAATAACTGGAGAATGTTCCATTTTAAGGGGCAAGATTTGGTTTTCATGTGTAAAAGTCAACAAAAAAAAGAGAAAAGAATGAGAACAGTTGTAAGAAGTTGCTTAAGTCCAGACTATTTTGTGGATTATACTTTTCATTCCAAAATAGGTTTGTGGCTCAAGAAATCTTTTTCTAAAATGTGTAGTTTAAATAAAATTTAATCAGTATTCCAAACATTTTAGAATATTAAAAACAAATCTTGATGTTTCTTACAAGCTAGCTCCATGCAGATATTATCCTCTTCACAGTGACTGAAATTGGATCAGGTTAGTCAGAAGCAGGCAGATTGACTTCGAAAAGACTGTGATAAAATGGCCATCAAACACCTCATGCCCTGGATTCAGACATGTCTGATCCAGATTAATCGCCAACACGTGAATGAAAACTGGGCCATCTTGCTCTCCGATTACCACATCAATAATTTGGGGGGGTAAACTAGTTCTGCCTTTTCCCTATCCACAGGGCACGTGGAATGACCACATGTTGGAAATAAGAGATGCAGGTTATTTCTAAAAGGTATGAACTTGGCTTGGCCAACAAGTAGAGTGCATATCCCCCCAAGCTCATCTGTTGTTTTCAGTGAATTGGGGAGAGTCACTGAGGTGGTGTAACCTTTTGACTGTTCAGTCACTGACCTCGATGATACTGAATATCAAAACATTGACAAGTCTTGGTCTTTTTATTTAAGGTCAAAAAAACCGGACAGATTCTGTTTTCTTACCTAGTTTTCACTAATACTGATTATCAGGAAATCAATGAAACATTGAAAACATGGTCCTTATGTCATTTCTACAGATGTACAAATGTGATTACAAACTGAAAGAAAATACTGCAGAGCATTTTTGTCAAGTTGTACAGATTTAATAATGATTACTCATCTCCACTGATACAACAGATCAGGTTTTCTATGTTTTTTGGAGTGCTTCTTTGATACAGTGGTCATTGTAGTTCGCAGCAAAATATTTTCCCATCTCAGTCCATACCATCATGGGTGTCTGGTTTGAACTCTGTGTGATCTCTGGCATCATTGCTCAATGTTCAAAGCATTTCAGTCTATTCCACAGCCTCATTATCTCCTCACTGACAGCTATGAAACATCATCCAGTGTCCCTGACTCCAAGTTTCCTTGTTCACGGACATTTTTTTCTTCCATGTCATTTTGCTTAGTAAGAACAAGTAATGCCTTAAAATAAGCTGATTTCTGATCTTTTATTCACTTTGTTGTCTATTACTGTGGCAAAACGTCCATTTCAATTGCTACAAGAAAACGTTTGTTATACTTAAGTGAACAGGACCATGGTGAACAATACATCTACAGTTCTGTATCTTTCTAACTAAAACTAGTGTGTGCTTTTTGAATGAGAATAATTATTATATAATTTGTGTGAGACTTGCCCTGATTGGTCAGTGTGGAGCATTTTTTCTGCCAGTGACCAGCTATTGGCGACCAATATGATCAAAGCAAAGCGATAACTAATTCTCACGTGTATTAGATTCCTAGTCATAGCAGCTTTCGTCGCAGGATCACAGCATTCATCGTCATTGTCATTGAGCTTCTGCTGAACTTTGCTTTAAATAAGTCACTTTCAAAGCATTCATGGTTCAAGTCCAAGTAGATGTGAAGTCGGGCAGTGCTTCAACAAAAAGTATTCATTAAATCATCAACGCACTCTCGTCAGACCCATTTAAAAATTTTCAAATATTTTAAAATTGTCAAATATTCACAGCAAAATATTTTAACTAGAAATTGATTTGGCTTCTTTTTGAAGCGTACTTATTCTAGTTAATAACATGACCGCAAAGTTAATCGCTATTGACTGCCCTTCGCTTGGCACAGACAAGGGAATGCAGAAATGTTTAAGAGCTGACACGAGCCGTAGCTTTGGCGACGATACAACATCTGTTCGCCCTGTAATGATCACATGGTGGCAAGGGGTGGACGATATCATCCCAGGCTAGACAAATTGCAAATGCTATCAAATATGGCGCTTCAACCGGGAACAGAACGAGACTTGAACATGGAAAGCGTGTCGGTTGAAGCGACTTGTTGGCACCTGTCACGAGCTGACAATTGCCTGGATAATTAGTACTAGGAAGGGATGGGCGGAACGATTACCCGGGGCGTGGTGAATTCTTTATTTCTGAAGCCTATTGAAGTCACTTTTTCAAAAAGCCTGCATATTGGAAGAAAATGTGCTCTTCGCACTGATGCGTTACCGGTGAAATATTTTCTTTCTGAATTGGATGACTAATCTTAAGCGCTCAATTTTGTCGTCGCTTGTTTACTTTCTAAAAGTGACAGTTTTTTCCTGAGGCGCGACTGGTTTGCGCCATGTTTGCACCACGATCCTTGGTAGGTTCCTGGGAGCCTGGAGCGTGTTGGATAGTGCCCAAAGCATTTCATCTGATGCTATGGCGTCTCTCTTCATAAGTTTAAAAGAGGCATCAAGCAAAGAGCAAGAAGAGAAACGAAAATTCCTCTAATGGATGTTTTCACAATGCAGGCTTATGAAGGATAAACATCTCTCATCCGGTTGAAAATCCCCTGTATTTGGGTCCTGAAATGGGCCCATGGGAAGGGTGGAGTCTGTAAGTCGTGGAGGTGTGAAATTCGGCAGCTGGAGTCCGTCTTAGTGCCGCGGCAAACCACTCGTATGATGCCTGATCAATGCATACTAATTGGGCTACATAGATAACGCTATCCCGCTACACGGGGCTAGGCATTGTGCACCTCTTGGGATCCCTAATGTGGGCTCATTTGCCTAAAAGTTTTCCCACTTGACAAAAAAGAGGGTCTGTACTTGCAGGCGCGTCGGGGCAGGCAGCGGTTTAGCGTGGCGAGAAGCTGTGCGTGGGGCGATGCAAATTTTTTATCGGGTGGTGATGGGAAATTGAATGGGCTCGAGTCAACATGGCCCAAGAAGTTAGGTAAACAGCGCCTGCATGCGCGCGGTTGGATGTGTGTTGGTGACGAAAGCTTCGGGTGGTGTTTGGTAGCGTGCTCTCACAGCCGTGAACGCCAGATAAGCTAGAGACAGAGTGTAGTAGAGTCGCCTTGCATGATTCGTTAGCCCGTACGGTGACTGCGCCTGCAAAGAGAAGAGAACAGTGGCTGAACATCTACAGTAGGGGTCATTCCAATCCCCTTAACTCTCTCCGAGGAAGACTTGTTGGACTATTGGGGTCAATCATAGCCTTCATTAATTCTGCTGTTTACAATGTTACACGCAGTCTGAAGCTCTGTTTAGTGGCAGGCAGTCGTTAGTACAACTCTCTAGTGTTAACACACAATAGGCCTATAGCATATATCTTACACGTGTTCTACCAATCTTCTTTTAGCACCAGACATCACTCCCGCAGGCCCCACCTCTTTGGATATCTCATTAGTATACCTGTTTTGTAAGCGTCTTTTCAGCGTTATTACGGTAAGCAACTTTGTTACTTCTTTAATGGTACGACGTTCTTTTTCCGGTTCGTAAAATTCCAGCTTTACAGCTCCGCCTCCCTCCTGTTCTTGACTACATGTATCTCTAAAAGTACAACGGTGGCTTTCTTTATCGGATTGGTGTAATTTAATGAACTGTCATTGTGTTGTATTGGTAATTGTAAAACAAACAGTAAATTACCTGAGCCTATAAAATCAGTTGACGGCTTGATAAGGGCATGGATTTATGACCCTGGCCGGCACACGCCGGTTGTCGCTGGTCGACTGACCAGAGATTATTACGGCCATAAAAATCTCGGCCACCACAGCTTTCCCCGAGCACGGTACGACTTAATGGGCTCTTACTTCATGAATGAGGTATCACTTAGGAAGAAAAGTCTCATCCATTTTGTTTGATACCACCAATCAACATGTCCATATTGCAGCCAACGTGGCTGTGAGATGTCTGTGGCTACAGCCATGCCGCTAAAGTATTCCACGTCCAAATAATCATGCCGTCATAAGAATCATTACTACCGAAGCAATGGTTCGAATGCAGCATTCCTGTGATGATCATTTGGAGTAAATCCGATTCGTGATAGATCGTTTTTGTAACCATTGAGAAAAGTTCACTTGTATACCCTGTTCAGCCTTATTCAAATTCCCTGTGTTGTGCTACCTTCAGTGTTTTAATCATCGTCAGAATATTATTTTGCCAAATGGTGGGTGGTTTTCTCGAGGAATAAATACCTTTCTAATGTTGTTTCATCCATTGAGCAGTGATCATTGATCAATTCATTGACTTAGGGTTCCTCGTTTTCAAGTTGAAGCTTTGAAGTATTAAATTGTCCGATAAATTACAAAAGGATTTCAGTTCACACAAAAAGCCCAAGACCAGAGGCAGTTTGTAATAATTTGCTTTTAGAAATATCAGTCATCAAAAGTGATCGGCTTAAACTTACTTTCGCAAGTTATTTCAAATTAGAAATGCTGTGGCAACTGCTACGCTATAACTGTGTGATTTTAATCATGGTTTCCAAAGGAATCCAGAAATTCTTGTGCCTCTAGCCAAGATATCCCTGGGAAAACATGTATATATACGGAATACAAAAGATGGAATACGGAATGTTTCTGCTTGTTAAGATAAGTTCAAACATGTAAAAACGCTGCAAGTTAGTAGACGTATTCTGAGGTCACGAATACCCAGTCAGAAACATCGTTAACCATTAATGGTCTCGTCGTATGTTCAAGCTGGGAAGTATATTTCACGCCTTATCGCAGCCTACATGTCCTACATTATTGCCGTAAGTAATTGAAAATGTCAATCACTAATGCTCGGTCGCACCATCACGATGGTTTATCTTCGATCTGATTATCATATTGATTATTTGTTAATCTTCCATTGCCCGACAATCATTGCGTTCCCGCTAGCCTTTTTCTTCCATACTTTGCCCATTGAATGAAGAATTCCCATCCTTTTATCAGGCTGGTACCGCCTATCGTCAGTGCTCTGGCGTTTTCTTTTCTATCTCTAATTCTTCGATCGATTTTGCGCAAGTTTTGTGCTGAGATCGGGTGGCTTAACTACAGGCGAGGTCAGATTAACAAAGGGAAGTTGTTACAGATCTGAAGGAGGTTTTCCTGCAATTGTGTTTGGCAGGAAAACTGGCGGGCTAGACAATTTGAACATTAGTAAACATAATTATTTCGAAGGGTTGATTTCTTTCGCTTGCTTTTGCAGTCCAAGCATTTGTGACATTCTTCACAAACCGATTTACATTTTCTATCTCCTGAAAAGTAACTTACAGTTAGGTAAGTCTTTGTGATTGCCACCACACTCACTGTTGAAGGGACACTCGAACTTTTCTTTAGCCAAATAGATATACAACTGTACATGTACATTTACATTGAATCTATATTGAGTGGTATGTCTTGGTCACCTTAACCCAGAAATTTATACTTCATGGTAAGGTGAGTTTCTGCTGAAATGTTTCAAAGGAGTTAATCACACTGCCAATTAGCAATGACATGAAACGCAATTAACAACTCCAATTTGCAACCTTCTTCAAAGAAAAAAGTGTCTTGCCTGATGGAACGGAATGTTGTGGCAAGACTCGACGTCACCATACTGTGAATCCAGTGTTACGTGCTTACTTAAAGCATGCTTTAAGTTGATGTTTTTGTGTTCATGTAATTATTCGTGTAAATATTCAGAGGGGGTAAATGCATGCTCAGTGCGTAACTACAGTTTCATCACAGAACGAACCCAAACACCAGTAACACCAGGCGACAGGAATTGTTGAATGTCTCGCACAGTGCACCACTTGGTGCCCTTTGCAATTTCTCGCACCAGTTCCTATGTCATATAGCGCGTGATCGCAGTGATCGTATGAAGACACTAACCAAAACTAAAAAATTGTCACTGCAGCGGCTTTGGGTTAAAAAAAAACGACAAGTTCATTTAAACTGATCCCGCGTAAGCCAAACTACAGCGAATTTGTTTTGGCTTGCAAATTGCGTTTGTATTTTCTTGCGTAACGCAAATTCAAAACTGAAGTTTCAAGAGTTTTCTTGACCAACCCTTTTTAGTTGTAGCCTTTGAAACATAGGCCCCCTATGTCTAAAAATAGAATACCACCTTTGGTGCAGCCATTACAGTTTTCAGTTTTATTTAGTACATTCTTTATCAAAGGAAGATGTGGTCATTTCGTCCATGTATGTACACAGTATAGCCAACCAGCTTAGTCAGCATTCGATATTATGCAGAAACACAATCATATTGAGAAGTTGTTTATTGTGGAAGTGGAGTGTCTTGGTGTTTACCAAGACTTGCCAAGAAGGCTTGCTGGAATCCCAGCGAGTTTACAGCTGATTTCTAAGGTATTATAACCGATAGACTACAGGTAAACAAGCAGGCAGTTACAACAAATGTTAGTGTTTGCTATGTTAGCCAACACTCTTTACGGACTTTTTGCGCACGTTGTATCTTCATCGAAAGCAGCTGTTTTTAGGGTGTGGTCAGTCGTAAATTACGAAGCAGACAAAGCTACTTGCAGTAGGCAGTTGAAACGTGCGTTGGAAAAAAAAACTGTTGCAGTCGGTTCTGATAGGCCTAATTCAAATAAATACTGTCATTTTCTCATCGCTTGCAATCATTTTACTTTTCCATGTATCCTCTTCCATAAAATTTCCTTTTATCCTTTCCGTGTGCAAACATCTTGAAGATTAAATTACACGCTTCACCACTCTCTAAAGGTAGTCGTTAGGAGTGGCCGCACCTCCCCTTCTAGCCCCAAGGTCCAGTAGGCATTTTTAAGGGACATCGAATAATCATTTGGGACCGTTTGTGCATTGAAAACGGTAATACGCAATTCCATGATTAGAGATCAGAAAGAAATTTTCTCATAAGATGGTATTAGAATTGTATTTCATTATCTAACTTAAAGTTTACGGATTGGTAATTTTGCTTTATTAATTTTTCTTTTTTGAGCGGTATTCTCATCAGATTTTCGCCTTGCACTAAAACAGTGGTTTTGTTAGTTTCGCAAAGAAATCAAACATTTGGTGAAGTAAATCCTGGATTGGGAGAAATCTGGAACAAAAGGAGTAGCTAAATAAAGTTGTCCAAACTTATTCGATGGTAAAATGGCGTGTCAAACCTTCAGTATTCCTTGTTTTTATCAACCGGCGGGTAAAATGCGCGTGGTGTTTCTCGAGGTTTCCACCCTCGTTTTTATTCATTCATTATATCTGTTAAACTACAAAAAATTCTTTTATTATTTTTCGCGATATAATTGAAAAACAATTCGTCTTATTAGCATGACGTTTAAGAAATGTATGCCAGTCATTTTTTTTCCGAAACGCAACAATGCGAAACCTAATTTAGAGTAAGGTGTCACACATCACGCATGTGGAAAATAACGTTGTACATAGAACAGCGGAGGGAATCGAGAGCTGTTGATTTCTTTGCTTTGCCTTTTTAGCAGGTTTTCAACAACTAGGTTTCCGGTGCTTTCAGGCACGAAATCCCAACGCAGTAGGTGGGGGATTTACTTCAATTCACTCGACCATTTTGTTGTCACTCACCGCAACCAGCGATTCGGGTTGGCCGTTCATTGTTGGGTCTTTATTTGGGTTATTGTCACTTTGTGGCTATCTGCGCATGGACATGAAAGCTGGAGGAATGTTTTTTGTGTCACTGGGTTAGTAAACGAAAGCCTGAATATTCTCCATATGAACTTATGTTCCTTATAATTTTAAACTACAGTCAGGATGATTAGCAAATACAACGTTCATTTTGACTGGGGACAATGATGCTACCTAATTTCTTTCTTTTCTTTCTTTTGTGGTCGATATTCGACGTCAGTAGTGACAGTGTTTGCCAAAAAACAGATTTGAATTTGCATTTCTTCTCGTAGAATACCTGTGTCGGTTCCGAACCCCTACCCTTTTCTGGTATGGTAAAATGTTGTTCCTTTCACAGACTATCAAAGGCCATGCCGACAATGCTCATGTAGATCGACACACAGGCTGCAACTGGAGGCTTGGGGTGTCTTTTGAACCTCCAATAATTACTGTTGTTACACTAGAGCTTCGCCCTACGGGCATTCACCGCGTCCAATTCCTTGGTGCTCGGCAGCACGCGCTACTTCGACAGCCACGCTGGTTATCTGATATTCTGAGAACTCGAAATGCTAATGCTTATTTCTCAGGTCCACTTTTGAAGGTCATTTTAAAAATTCGTCTGGTAGGAATTCGGTTATCAGGTGTATTGTATGTGGTGTGTACTCGTGCTTCAGCTTACGAGGCAGTCGTAACAGTGAAATCACTGGAGCGGAGTGTTGTGTTTCGTTGTAGGTTCGATAAGCCACGTGGGAACTGTAAATTGAATGTGTTGCTTTTACGGTCCTGTATAACACATGCACATAAATCATTCTTCCATTTTGGCTTGCAGCGTGCTAAGAATGATAGCGCAGGCTAGGGCACTGGGTTATTTCACACTGGTATTCCTGGCACTGTAGCCTTTTTTCTTTTGCTTGGGTGTTTGAAGTGCTCTCACGATCGTCAAATGGGGTCAAGATAACGAAGCGATCAGAGTTCAGCACATCGTTGGCATTAGAATTAACCGGCTGGGTTTGTTTTATCAGGCCGTAGTACAGTGGCGGATATCGTGTGGCTCTCTCTGAGACGAGATCTTGGCGTTGCTTGATCTTTTGTACAGTGTAAGGCGAGAGTTTTAGATGGACAGCCAGCCGACTTTGCCCTCATTCACGCACGCTGCTTCGTTTATGGAATGAAATGTCGATTGCTGTACATAATTTCCCACACTGACAGCCAACATTACATTACTACTCGCCTTCTCGTTTGCTGCGCTAAAGATGACACGTCTTTAACCCAATGTTTGCTGCGGGGATTTTCTGCCATTCGGATTTTTTTGTTGGACAGCGTGAATGATGAACGTGATGCCTTAGCCTAATGCTTTTTCACGTGGTGTGTGACAGATCCCCGTGGTGTGTTTGTCGAGGGAGTAAAAGTAGCTTGGACTTCGGTGGATTGAGGGGTTTGCTGGATTGAAAGAGAGACTACCAAATACCAAGCAAGCACCAGCCGTCATCATCATGGGTCGATCATGGGCTGCTTTGATGCCAGGGTTACTGCTGGTGTGTCTGGCTGTTGACAACGTGTTGGCTGACGTACAAGGTATGTCCAAATTGCTTTTGTCATGCTTTTCTTTTGTCTTTATTGTGTTCATTTATACATGTATCTTGGTACAATTAACAAGTTGGTTTTCTTGGTGTGTGTTTGCATATATTATAGATCTCCTTGAAGGTTGTCTAATTTAATTTGATGAACATTAGAAAATGCATTCTTTGGTTTTAGTATTTTATTTCACAATAGCACAGGTCCGTCAGACTGTATTCAGTGCATTATTAACCGGTTGTTGAACACTTGGCATGCTTGATGTTACCATATCAGAGGTTAATCTGTTATCATTGACTTTAATGAGAAGTGTAAATGTAGGGATTTAGCCTGGCACCCATCAGAATATGACCTGCTGCCAAAAAATGCCACAATGTGTCATGTTCACTCGGGGAAGCTTTGCTCACTTTGCCTCCCTTAATCCAACCCAGCCTCCCCCACCCATAATGTGGTTTCCTCATAGTGAATAATGGTACCCATCAAGCTCATTAAGCAGCTGAAAAGCATCCCAAAATGGCTACCACAAAAGAGGTGAGGCAGGCTTTTGTGCTGGCAGAATGGCCAACCATACCTCCCACAGCATGATATGGCTGGCCCTGCAGTAACCCACTGACTGAACGACAAAAGCCTTGCAGTGGCCTCCGCTGTGTTTAATTTATGGTGTTGACTCAGCCAGTGTTGTTGGACTTTGTTTTCAACCCAAACACGTGGGGCAGACCAGTTGATATTATTATGATAATAATTACAGATCTTAAAAAACCCCACACTCAAGAAAATGTACACAAGACTTGAATTATACTGCTGTTGTGAAGTAGGAGGTAACAGTACTAACCAGTCTGGTTGAGGAGTGATTGTGATAACTTTTAAATTCTTGGCTGGTTGAAATGGTACACCACATAGGGTAAACTGATGTCCACCCGATCTGCTATTTAACTGTTGATTTCACTTTGATCATGAAAGATGTAAAATCCTGCATGAGACTTAGGCTACACAAAACATATTATTGTCATTTACACGAAAGTTACACAAAAAATCTTACACATTTTCAAGATTGGTTTAAGGTCACAAGTTGCTCATCATGAAATAAAGGTTGTTAGATAAACATTTACACAAACTCTTTTTAACCATTTCTTGAAATTTCAATATTTGTGATTTCATTAACGATACTGTGAATGTGTTGAAAGTTTGTTGATGAAGCCGTATATTTTTGAAGTGTTTGGAGTTGAACGTATTATTGGAGTTCTCTGATGCTTCTTCGTTTGCTTTTGCTTCATACTGCACAAACACCTTTAGGAGGGTTATAAATGCGCAGGCGTAGCGTAATGTTGCCAGCAAGCAAAAACCTTAGTTAAAAGGACAGGGTGCAGTTTAGTAAAGGTCCACAGTCCTAACCATTCTAAACCCAAAATGGCCAAAAGTCTATGCATGATTTCAATGGTCCTTAGAGGGTTGGGTTAATATTGAGTGAAATCTCACTCTCAGACGAGAAAATTCGTTAATTTCTGTCCTCTTAAGCAGCAATCTTGTAAAGAGAATCATGTAGTACATGTACATGTAGTAAACATGGTCTGAGATGTGAACATTGTTGGATCATGGTCCATATTACTTGTATTGGAAACCAAGGATGCATGTTACAAAGACTCTTGCTTGGTGACCTATTGTGTATTCTTACAGAGCATTATGGTCCAAGCACTCACCTAACTGTACAAGACCAGTAATGATCCTACAGTTAGAATTGACCACTAATTGACCACTGGGGACCATTATCATCATGGCTATTAGCAGGAATGCCTACTGGTCACACACTATCATACCTTCCCCTGACTACACCTGAGTGTGTGAGAGACTGACACAAATAATCCCTCCTCTGGTTTGATGGTTTCCATGTCTGTCCAGAACTTGGTACCCTGAAAGTTAGACTGAACTTGGAAGTGCATAAGAACCTGCTGTCATGCTGTTATGGCTGTTGAGGACCTGAATATAGCTAGTAATAAATATGATTTTAAGAAATTCTCAAACTTTGAACCAGGTATGAAACGTGGCCAGTTGGTTGTATGGTGCGATGTCTTGAAAATTGTGATTTCTATGTCTTATGGGTCAGATTGGAGAATAAACGGTACTTTGTGGATGCAAAATTGGGCAAAAACATTTTGATAAGTTACAATTCCAGTTTGAAAATCTGATTGCAAGTTGCTGAATTCTGCTTTTCATGAAATACAAACAAAACTGAGTCCAACCATATGAAAAACAGACTGAAAATCACCACCAATAAAACAGATAGATCTTTTAAAAGGAAATGAAAATACCCAAGGATATACTTGTGTACATTTCTCAACAGAAGGAATTGTGTAGAGGTTTACTTAGGTTGTTTATGTGAAATTGAGGAAAGCCATCCATTGAAATAAATTGTTGAGGTGTTTACAGGTAAACATACATCAGAGGTCAGGGGTACACATTGACACCTCAGAACGATTTACAGTTAGTCATAAATCAACATTGCTCAAAGATCAACAGTGTCTGTATTCATGAGATAATTATTTGGAAAAAGGGTTTCTCTTTGTGAATGAATTTGGTGATACCATCAGCAGTAGATAAATGTGTTTTGAATGTGGACTGTGGGTATATCAAACCTGACAACTGAAACACAGATTTCCTTTGCAATTTGATGATATTTCAACCTCGACATAGTAGAATTGTAAAGGGGATTTTTGTTCTAGTTTAGCTGGTATTGTTGACTTCATTGAAGACCACCATGAGCAAGTTGGCCCATTTGTCAGCCCATAAGCCCAGGAATTTGCTCAAAGTATCCCTCTTGTCAATCACATTTCAGGGCTTAATGGTACTACTCAAGAACAACTGCCCCTTTTCCTTTTCTTTGTAGTAAGCTGACAAAAAGCCTCAATACCCAATGGATCATTTTTCTCGGTGGTTGAAGGTGTTACCAGCCAGAGGGCAGTAACACCGAAAACCTATCCCTTCCTAACTGTTGGCTGAAGCCATCTGCTAGTAATTTAACACCCACAAGAAATATAATCTGGCTGGCCCCCCAAAAAATGATTCCAGTTTTTTGTTCAGGGGGAGGGCAAGCTGTGCTTGTACATGGACCTTCTGTTTTGTAATTATATGCTGATCATTGGAAAGTGGCAAACGACAAGCGAGAAAATCAATGCTGGGCGTGTTGGGCTTGTCATTTGGGTAGTGTGTTGTTTGTGAATAGCCATCTATGGAGACCTGCAGCTGAACCTGCAGAAAAAAAACGGACAGAAATGCTCCATCTGGATTCCTAAACCTCATTCAGATTGTAACAGATCCAATTTTACTGGCATGATTTCAAAGATTTTATTGACTAAAAACTTCAGCAAATTAAACAGAGTTCAGAACTGTCAGGGTCAGGATTTGATAAGGATCAGTTTGTCTGTTAGCAACGTTTCAGGTGTGTTGTTCTACCGGTTACTGTTTTTACCCTGCTAAGTAATATAACTTGCGTTAATGGAGTTCCCAAAATTAGTTTGGGACTGTTCATTGCTATGCAGGAGGAATTCATGTACTGGGTTCATGATGTATGCCTGTGTTTGTTGTTCTTTTGTTAGCAGATGGTAGTTGGTAGTGGATTTTGTACCTCTTAATTGTAGTCTAATCAAACATATGCACCCTATCAGGTGTTTTAGTAAATACGCAGCGTTTACATCAGGTGGTAGCAAGCTGATAACCGTTACTTCCAATTGATGTTAATGAGGTTTCCTCCCAACTCCCCCAAAGGCTAAATCATGAATTACTGGAGATAATATCTGAAGTGCCAACAACTAAATACAAACAGTTGAATACCGATGTACCAGTAGTTGGGGATGTACTTACTCTTTGTTCTTTTTAAAAGAGAAAATATTTCAATTTCTAAAAATGACTTCATCCAGATTCCATATTGTTACCAGTATATGGTGTTTACAAAATACTGAAAACTATAAAAAGAAATTCAACCTGTATCCTGTCCTCTGTTGGTGCTTCATTTATTCTCTTCAGTTCATCCATATTTTAATGAGGTCAAAAAAGGTGGAATGCTGTTATGTAATTGCAAAGTTTCTAGAAGTTAATATCTGTAATTTTCATTAGTGTTTGCGATTCCAGGGATAATTTAATTCTGTGTTCTCATTCTGAAATTAACAGTGCAATAATGGACAACTTGATTCAGAGTGCACTGATCAGGAACTACACGTACAGTTGCCAAACAAAGTCATTTTTTCCCTTCTTTTAGGACCACAATGCATCAGTTGTGTGTGTCCCTCATTCCATCCTGACCCCAAACCACACACATGCCAAGAGAGAGGTGGGATTAGAAGTGTTTGTGTTCTTGGGAAATACATGTATTCCCTTCAACCTAAGGAAAGGATTATGGACTGATGGTTCCCGCTGGTTGTTGTTGGCCTACTCTTTTCAAAGGGAGTGTCCGAGGGTTGTGATTGCAGTGGGTGTAGGGTGAATATGGGGTCAATGCTAACAAAACCAGGACCTCATTTGGAGGGATGGAGGTTTTGCCAAATTCCTAATGTGTGTTGCCTGTATAAACAGGATTGTCAGTAGGTTGGACACCAGTTACTCTGTTGATGTATGCCAGAGAATCCAGTTAAAATATCTCCCACAATGCTTTGGACACACTGGCTGTTTTTGCTCTGAATTAGGATATACCGTAAAACTTTGTAAATTAAGATGGCAAGGCTCTTGAAAGTTACATGTACATGTAGAACAGGGAGTCTTGCCTGTCTGAAGTTTGTATTATTTAGTATGTCATACTCAAAAGACTGATTCACAAGCATTTTCAATCTTTAAATTAATTTCAATCAATACTTTGACATCAGTCTAAGATTCTTGAGAATGTCTTGCACAGTTGTACTTGGCCAAAGTACCTCCAGCGAATTACTCAAACACATCTCACTTTTGTATAATACTTGCCTGTGAGAAAGGGCTGGGCACTTAATGTGATAATAGAAGGAAGGTGCATGTACGTA